TTTAATGTGTCTCCCAGCACAATCTCCAGAACATGGAAAAGGAGACAGGCAGGAGACAGCCAGTTACTCTAGAGCTAGACAGGACCGTAGAAGGTCCTCAACCTATCAGCAGGACATATATCTGCTCCTCTGTGCAAGGAGCAACAGGTTGAACACTGTCCATGCCCGATAGAATGACCTCTAGCAGTCCACTGCTGTGAATGTCTCTGCCCAAACAAGCAGAAGCAGAGCGCATGAGGGCGTCTTGTAGTAGGTCCTGTGCTCACCGTCCAGCACCGTGGAGCTCCACTTGCATTTGCTAGACAACACCAGAATTAGCAGGTTCACCACTGGTGCCCTGTGTTTTTCACAGATGAGCAGGTTCACCCTGAACACCTGTGATAGACATGAAAGAGTCTGGAGAAGACAAAGAGAACGCTCTGCTGCCTGCAGCATGGTTCAGGGGTCAGTGAGGGTCTGGGGAGGCAGATCCATGGAGGGAAACAAAAACCTCTAAAACAGGGGTACTCAATTAGAAACTCAAAAGGTCTACTTATCAAATTTACAGTGTTTCCAGAGTCCAAAAAAGTCACAGTGTGTTTTCCAAACTTAGAACTTATAACAAAAAATTTTGTAAATCCACATGGAATATTTGAACCATGCACAAAGTACTAAGTACACTACTAGATACTACTATTGGATAGATAAATACTAAATACACTAGCTAGTGGCTACTTTACCAAAGCTAAGTCGTGAGAGGGCGCTCTAGGCTTGTGTGCCAGTATCTGCTGCTCCCATTCCTCCTGTACCACTGTCACTGCACATCTCCTGCAGAGACGGTGTTCTGTCTCGATCATGTCAGTCGATCGCATCAATACTTCTGTACTACTGAAAATTTAAAACAGTACTCGAGCAGCAGAAAGAAAGTTTGGAGTGAGCGAGAAGGCGAGGATGGAGAACACAGCTTCATGGCAACCCAGAGGATGCACCATGTAACCTTTCCTGCAAGTCACTGGACGGACTGACAAAGCTGCGCACAAAAGGAAGTGGCGCTCTGTTTACATCCAGAGGTCGCCGAGTTGCTCAGAAGTGACACAGAGGATGAAGAATTCAATGGATTTTGGTAAACTTGTTATGTTGTTTATGCTAGTTATCTGAATAATTTAATATCTTAAGTTAACAGAATGTCGTTCTCTTTTCTGTTGTTATTGCTATAACTTGCCTTTCAAGATAAAATATGTATTCTTGGTCTCTGATTTTATAAAATACATTTCCCCCAAAAAGTGTGACTTATAGTCCGCAATTGCATTTGTCCTTTGTCATGGATTCTACCTGGACCTGGAGGGAATTTACAAATATAATGTAATAATAAAACATGGGTCCAATTTGAAATGAAATGAAATCCAATAAATACATTTATTTTTTGGTATATTTTTTATAGTTCTGACCATAAAGGCAGAGTTTCCACAAAATTCACTGCATTAGGTCGAGATTTCATGCAGAATTTTTACTACATTATTTGTCAAGAATGGTTCACAAACCTGAGTAAACTTTGCTATTATCTCTTTAAAGCATGACAGTACTCAAACAGGAGGACCTCATAGCTCTGGGAAAAGCATCCGGAAAATAGCTGTGCAGAGTTAGGGCTTTTCAGGAATTCCATCTTGTAAAAGAAGCACACACAAAAAGATGGTGTGTCTGCTGTAGCAGGATAATAATGGTCCTCCCCCCTCCTTCCATCCACCCCCCTCCTGGCTGTTAGCAGTTATTTAGGTAGTTCATGAATACATTTGAGGAGATCCAAATGCTACTGTCTTAAGAGCTTACTGCAAAGGGGCTTCAAGGGGGAGGAATAAATGAGTTACACGACTAGAGAGAATAGATCAAGAGCGAAGGGGAGCGTGGCGTGCACTTAGCTAATGGGCCAGTCACATGTGGAGTGAAGGCAGTGCTAGTTTACATGTGAAATCCAGTTTTTCTTCTAAATGACTTGTACACTGGTTTTTGCGCTGTATTCAGGAGACGTAAGAGTGCACAGATCTCCATACAGGTACTGGATATCAATCCCAATCCACAAAAAACTTCAGAATTTATTGCATAACACAGTTTAGTCACAAAATGTCCAAAACATAAAAATAAAAACTATAACCATGTTAAAATGTCTAAAATACAAATGATGTCTAAATGTGGTCTCGCCTCATGGACCCCACACTGCTCATGTTGACTTGACCTCAGGTGGACTAAATTTGACAGTGAGTCAAGAATTCCCTTTTAGCTTTTTCTAAAACATGGAGCTTAAATTAGCTCTACGGGACTAAGTCATGTGAGGATACAGACATATTTTGAGTTGGGCCCTTAATTGTGCATTGGCTGTTGCACATGTACTGTGGCTGGACTGTACTGCCTTCCTGTCCAGGGTAATGTGTTTGGTTGGCATTCTGAACGGAAACATTAGGAAGTGGGTTCATCATAGGGCTACTACAGTCTCACAGGAGGTTGGAAAAGCCAAATATTCACAGATATATCTGTGTGTCAAATGGTAAGTAAGTAAGTCTTTATTACTATAGCGCTTTACACAGACATATGTCACAAAGACACTTTACAGAGAATTATATATTCACTATTCTTTTTCTCCACACCCGGTGGTGGTCAGATTATGGTAGATTCTGGAAACTGTCATGGGCATTGTTATTGTCATTCAGGGTGTATTATTTTGTATTGAGTTGTCGTTCTTGACAGAAAATAAGTTCAACACAGACAATAAAACCGTTTTAAAGCCAGAGAATCAATGCAGTAGGCTTGTTGGTGCACATGAGCACTGAACATTTTACACAAATGAACCTACTTTGTCATATTTAAGAAGCAAAACATTTCCCAAATTCTCCATTGACATGAAAGGGACAGTGTAACAGAAAGTGCAGTTTAGGAACATTTAGAGACAAAAGTGGGTGGAGCAAAATAAGATGGATTAAGATATGTAATCAATTTGAGAGCTTTGGCCATGCTCACTTTTATTTGGCTAATCCATCAGCAGTACAAAAATGTTTTTAGTCAACCAAGAATTGCCTTGGTTGATGGCAGCTCAACTGTATACAAATATGGAACTGTCTATCAAATGACATGGGTCCAAGTATGAAATGGCTGGAATCTCCATGCACCTAAACCTAAACATGGACAGTACAAGTCATTCATATTTTCTACATAGAAACTGGACCATGGACACAGTAATGTGAGTGTAGGCAATGGGAGTGAAGAGTTCGACACAGGGAGCCAATGAATACTTGCAAGTGTAGGTGAGATCTGAACTGCCTAACCCCCGGTCAGACGGTAAAACACTGCTCATCCACACCTCCTTGTCCCCTCGCCCCATCCTCTTACACTCGAAGCCACAACATTATAAAAACAACAAATCATTATTGTGAGCACAAGAAACATGTGTGGTATATCTGTGGCGTGTTCTCCTCAGAGGTGGCCAAGGTGAATCCTCCGTCTCTGCCCTTCCTCACTAACACTTTAAGTTGTCTCATTCTCTGTTTGTGTTCTTCTGGGTCTCTTCAGAAAATACCATGATAAAAGATAATATTAAACTAATACAAAAACCCTAAAGAAGCATAACACCCCGCTTACTAAATTGTTACAAATTTTTTAAATATTTTTGAAACACAACCACAGCCATTATGTAGTCTCATTTCAGAGCTGATAGGCTATAATTTGGACCTGATATAGAATGGGTTTAGATCTGGTCGTACTCAGAAAGCCAAATGTTGAGGCGGTACTTGTTGTAAAACATTTGAATTAAAGTTACTTATTCAAACCTCTAGACCTCCAGAATACAGTACTGTTTGTTCTACTGTATATTGAACAACTGTAACTGGCCTCTGTTTGTAGAAACAGAGGACACTGCAGTCCTTCCTGTGAATGTAAGATTTTAAAATACTCAGAGTAATGACCAGTGATGGGAGTGACCATAGATTGTGTAAAAAAAGTGGACTAAGCAAGCAGGAAGTCACCGGTAGCTTTTGGCTCCACCCTAATGAACCTTGTGATGCTTATGGTTACAGAAGTGATTTTGGAGCCAGGCTCTATATTATGAATAGGCTTTTTTTGACGGACAAAATAGAGGAAAAAAACACCAGGATCACAAGGAGAGGGTTAATACAGACATTTTAAGGCCAAAACAGCGAGGCTTACAACAGCAGTTACACAGAGGGGCCACAATATTCCAATACAAGTCAATGGGAGCCAGGGTCAGAAGGAGCCAGAAGAGCCACATGTGAACTTCCTATTCAGCACGCAGCAGCTAGCGCGTTAGCTATATCCATTTATATATACGGTCTATGAGAATGACATTGGTGAATCCATTTTCATATTGCATTCCTGTGGCCACTTATGTAACCAGTTTGACTGAAGCCAAGTGTCGTACAGTTTTCAGAAATTTATTCAAAAAGGTCCATGATTTATGGCAAGTTTATTGGTCACATTTATCAAGTCACTTGGCTATAATTATTAAGCCAAAAAAAAAGTCTTTAGGTGGGGAGGAAATCGCCAATCCTGTAGTTATGACCTCTACAAACATGCTCTGAAATGCATGGGAATCTTCCCTGAAAACTAACTCCTTGGTATTAAAAGTGAATTGCATTAGTTTTTAAATTTGTGAATTCTGTCTTAGTAAATAAAAGAGTTGACCAGTGTATGTACTGGTCGACTGTTTTATTTCAGTAATAAGGATTTCTATGGGACAGCAACGGTAAGGAGAAGTGAGTAGCAGCTGAAGATTTAATTAAATACATTGTTGTCTAATACTTTTGATTGCAGAAATAGTAGTGTTTGCATGAGCTCCTCCACAGGTGTAGCCTTGTGAGTGCAGTTTGGCTCAGATACATACAAAGAATACACATGTCACACATGTCTTTAGTCAACTAAGAATTTGGTCATTTCTAAACATCCCCAATCTGCAATCTATTGACTATAACTAACCACATTCATCTGAACAAACTATATGAGACAGAGCAGGATCTTACCCCTGGTTGAGGTCATTCTCTGTGTTGTCCAACCACAGGCGCACAGCCACAGCGTTCCCCTCTCGACACTGTGTGAAGATGTCGTCCATGTCCCCTCCTCTGTCCTCCTCTGTCCTCCTCTCTAACAGGTACAAGGTGTTTTGGGCGTGAGGGCAAAATTAAAACCAGTCCACATCAGCTCCTCATCTGGTCATGACTCACTTCCACTGCAAAACAGAAAAGAAAAAGAATAAAAAAATTAGTGACCAATAATAACAACAAATTATATCTTTCACAATGAAGGGCCTTGTCTAATTGAGGTTTTTTGGCATTTGAGCAAAACTGGACTTGCTCTAGAACAGATAAGCAGCTCTTTAGGTCAAAAGAAGTCTGTTGCATGCTGTCTGCATCCAATTATAAAGCATTTTATTGTGAAATAATACCACTACAAACCCTTTAGTGTTCTTTTCCATGTTTTAAAGACAGTAAAAAGCAGCTACAGTGCCTTTAAAATGACCAAAAGGTGCCAGTTGAGTTTGCTAAAGGGAAATGAACCATATGTGTGCAGAAAAAGATGCTTTCTATGATACTGCAAAAATCTGTTCTATGTAATCTTTATGAACAGTTTTAATGGTGCTAGTGGTCAGGGGAGCTCATGGCACGGACTAGCAGCATCAGTCTGCCCTAGGGCAGCTGTGGCTACCACTGGTGTAGGGCTTTGAGAAACGTATCAAGTCTATTAAGAGAAAAAGAAATGTTTAGCTTTGTTCCACTAGAAATGGGAAGTGCAGAATTGAGTAAGTGTCAACAGAATAAACATAATGTGGTAATCAGGAGGGGACAGTGACTCATACTGTGAGTAATAACATTCCGCTTCCTTTGCGACAGCAATGTTTGAACTCTTTTAAATCAATAGAAAATGACCCTTAGGAGAACCGCAACAATACTGGCAATGGCAAAACTCATAATGTGGAGTATGGACTATAACAGGGTCTCCAAACTTTTTCCTCCAGTGAGCTGTTTTTACAAAACAAAAATGCTCATTACTCATTTCAGTGGTTGCAAGAAATTGCATAAATATAAGAGCCACAGTCAGCCTTAGGAGTTTAGTTAGATCGCAGACAAAACATAAACCATTTTCCAGTTTTCGATGCACAAAGGGACACATTTACAATGGGAATAGGCCTTTAATTCATCAAAGATGAATTATTTAGTGCAATACACATAATACAGAAATCCTTTGGCAAGCTGTTTGAAAGGGGGTGGAGAGCTACTGGCAACTCCTGCGCTACAAGTTGGAGTTGGACAACAGTAAATCAAATAAGACGTCTTTGAGGGAATGAACCATTTCATCACTGACTGAAACACCAGAGTGGATTGAGGATGAGGTCTTTCTTGTTGTGTTCACCTGGTTCCCCCTGGACACTGCTGTGATTCTGAAGGACACACAGGAGGAGGGACACTTTTGGCTCTTCCCCAGGATTTGCTGATCCTACCTTCTCCCTGTTAAACGCACTGAGACCTTTGACTGAGATATGCCGTAGAAATGTTGCTGCAGCAAAAGTTACATTTCTCTGGGGATCAATATCTGTTGCGCTCTCCCTATGTTTGGATTACCTGACTCACACAGTTAAATTAAAAGGGCCCATATCAGGCTATTTTCTGATTTAAATAATGTAGTTTTCTCATCACAAACAGACCTGGAGTTGTGTTTTGTTTCATTCACACATGTTTATCACTGAAACCCTGCAGATTTAGGCTTCTGAGTTCTTCTTTCTAACAAAAAACATTTTTAGATGCCATGTGGTAATACAGGAAGTGTTTCACTGTGTTTTTAAACTTCATACACCTTCAGTAGAATCATTTGGACCATTTCAGCCCTGGAATCGCCAATCTCTGCTGAACTAAAGGTAAAAGGTTGCTGTTAATTAGAAACTAATTAGTATAACACGGTAAGAGCCAATTTTGCGTAATTTTGGACCTCTCATGTACTACTGAGCTATTTTGAAGTGTCCTGATGACTATTGCAAAATTCAGTCAGACATTTTACACTACTTCTGTCACTACTGGATATAATTTGATGTTTTGGTTGTGCAGCAGACGATTTTAAAAAAACAAACAAAAGAAGTGTGCCAAAACTCAAAACATGGCTGAAAAATACATTGTGACATATAGTCTATGAGTTTGATTTGCACACAGGTTAAACAGTTCATAAAAGGTTTGTACAACACTGAGTAACTCACTGTAGCAGATATGGCAAAGAATAACAAATGTCATTATAGCAACTCTTAATTTCGTTCTTGTAGTAATAAATACTTGTTGCATAGAAATGAGTCTTGATGCAATACTTCCTCAAACACACAGATCTGTCTGGAGCAGTTTGCAGGCAACTCTACAATGACTGCAACAGGCACCAGTTAGCACTTAGCGTCTGTATCTTTTCCTCTTTTACTTCCTGAAATTACAATCAAAATTAAGTTAGTCTCCCTTAAAATATATTTAACTTGTTCAATATTCATCCACCTTTGAAGCACATTTATTCCGCATAATGCAAAGCTGTAACTCTGGAGCTTGTTCGCAGTCTTTGGGGTAGATGTGGCTAACAAGCTAACAGCTAAGTTTTGTGACGCGGCGCCGCTCGTTGGCCGCTCTACACGCACACACAATCATGCAAATTGACCGCAAACGTACCGCGCATAATCCTCACAAACGCTGCACGGGTCAGTCACAGAGGGCACCAGGAGCAGAGTGTGTTTCTAGGGGGTCCTGAGGACTGAGCTCCGTCCACACCCTCGCTGGTCGCTGTCCAGAGGAAAGCAGTCCGGAGCAGAACGCACACGGGGCGGGGAGGGACGGGGGACAACGGGGGAGGGACCGGGAAAGACCGGGGAGGGACGCGGTAGAAGCGGAGACTGGAGCGGAGACGGCGTGCGGACGACACCTACAGGAGGAACGGAGCAGTGCATGTAAAAAAAACACTGCCCCCGGCTATGGTTTTTAATATACCACTTATTTAAATAATGTGCTCCGTTTACAACCTTTAATTCAATCAGCTTTCAACAGCCTGTACTAATAAAATGGGACAAAGGAAGAACAAATAGAAAATAAACCCAAATGTTCTTGGAGCTCAATCAAATTGGTCTAACATGATAGATAAAACAAGGCCACAAATTTTTCAAAGCTACTAAAAAACTACAATCACATTAGGGAACAGTAATGGACTATTATGAACAAAATATCACATTTTTTGAATGGGGAAAAGCTTCTTATCTGTATCTTATAACAGGATGCTGGAACCATAGGTTGCCTTCACATGACAGCACAACATTGTGGAATCTTAATAATTTTTATGCAGCAGCAATAGTTTATAATTGAGCAGGAGAACAGGTCAGAATTCCATGGTGGGATTTGCACTGTATTTCCCCTGTCTTGCATATTGTCTCGTGGTATAATTACATCCAGGCTACAGTAATATAAAGAATAGGTCACAATAGTTCGGTAAAAATAATATATTTATAGCACTTTAACAAATCAACAGCTGCAAAACAAGCCCTGATGTTTGACCCAGAGCAGTAAATGGCTTTAAATAAAGTCTCTCTCATCTCTTCTTATACACACAAGGCTTCAGCTGCACTCCAAACTTCTTCACATTTTCAGGTGCTGGTCCAGTCTTTACAAAGTCGAATGAGTAAAAGTGAGTATTCTCTGTGTCCTGAGGGGAAAAAAAAGATATTAGACAAGAGAGATCAGTCAGATATGTACTAATAAAAGGCACTGTACCCGTTGTATATATATACATATATATACCGTATAAAAAAAATGAAAAATAGCACACTTTGCAGTGGTCCAAAGTTATTCTCAATGCATCCTAATTAATCAGTTAATAATAATAATCAGTTCAGACACCCTAAAGCTCATTGAGTAAATGCATCAGTTGTAGGGTTGGTAGGTTAGAAAGAATTGTCATTTCATATGCTGTCTGCTCAAACACAATGGTGCATCAGTGAATCTAAATGGACAGAGGATAACTTGTCATATTTTGGCTGCTTTGTAATTGCCTCATGAAAGTTACATTATTTGGGGATTACTTTATTTTTTATAACTTTATAAATAAGCTTTTATGATTAATTGAAGAAATTTAAACAGATAAACAATGAGCTGTGGTAAAGAATAAACCTCTGTCTATTTCATAACTCACCAGAAAATGGATAATGGATCATAATTATTGGAATAGTCCACAATAGGCCTTTGGAATGCCATGCTGATCAAACTGAATTTCTCACATCTCTTGTAGAAGTTGTGCAGTTTATTTTAGGCAGTGGTGCATATGACAGACTTTTGTGTTTGGTGTGATAGTACTGGTGGTAAATATTTATCATAGTTTTACATCAGTTAAGTGGCACTTGAGAAGAAAAGTACAAAAATACAGTAGTGGTGAGAAGAATGCCTTTACCTATGTCGTCAACACAGAAATTCTATCCAAGCTGCTGAGACAATTAGCACCAGATTAAACACTGATTCAACAAAACAGGTGCTGCGGTTTATTTTATTTCTCTCGTCATAACAATTGAGTAATTTGGACAAGTTTGGGCTTTTGTTAACATTATGGTTGCTAGGTAACAGAACTGAAATGATCAATACATACAGTATATCACCTCTGCTGGCCAAGTCCAACCAGAAACTAATTTGATAAACTTCACCACAATTAAATAACTACACAATTATACTAGAAAAGACCTTGTGAAAAATCTTAAACATTCTTGTGTCAACCTTGTTTTAGTGAGTAAGCTCTGTAACCTGTATGCACTGTAAACATGGATGAACAGAACACTCTCACCTTGGACACCAGTTTGAATCCTAGACCTGCCAGCGCAGTGATGAAGCTGCGCACATTCTCAAATCGGCTCGACACCTCGGCTATTTTCAGAAAACCCCTATAAACGAGCACAAACTGGTGAGTCTTTTCAGTATACATTTTCTATTTAAAACAAACACAACTCACCCTCTTTTTAGAACACGGTTAGCTTCTTTTAAAAAATCTGCAAGGTTAGTTCCCATGAGAGAGAGACAGAAGACGGCGATGTCCACAGAGCTGTCCTTCAGAGGGACCTACAGCAAAGACACAACTGTTAGCAAAAGCAGTAATATTACATGAGAGTAAACACGACATGCATCACAGCATCACCTCATCAACATGTTTGAGCATCTTGATTATTCACCATGACAAGTTCATACATTTTTCACAGCTTTCACAGAGCAGAACTAGCATACTAATGGGCACTAACAGTCCTGATGATCAGATAATAAAATGCTTTATAATTCAATGCAGACAGTACATACACAGCAGACCTATTTTGACCTCAAGAGCTGCTTATCCAAATATCTGTACTGGGGCAAGACACATTTTATTCGAATACTACAACATGCATAAAACCTGGTACAGGCCCTTCAATATTTTTATATCGTTTTAGTTAGATTTATTTATTTTTTCTGTAAATTAAAAGAAGTCTGCTGTGTACGGTGTGCATCTAGTTAGAAAGCATTTTACTGTCCAATAATCAGTTAGCATGCTAATTGTATGTAGTTTTACTGTGACGGAAAAACACCACACTGGAGTTTGTCAAAAATGCTTCCAAACTCATCGCAGTGCATAATGAGGATCCTCAAAATGCATAAGGTACGTGAGGAATAACTTTAGACCACTGCAAACTATGTCAAATGTTTAAATGTTTAAAACTAGTTCTGTTTTTCATGTTTTTAGGTAAGTAAAAAGTAATAAAACATGTTCTGAAATGTGATTCTTGTATTAGTGTGTCAGTTCATATTTCAGTATTTGTAAATTCTTCTAGATGTGAACTCTGACCAGAATTATTTTATTAAAACATAAATTGCAAATCTGATCTCATGGCTATGCTTGTCAGAAAATGTTCAGACATTTTTCCCAAAATGTTCAGGCCTACTATAAAGTCTCTCTGAACTGAAAGTGTACTCACGTTGGCCATATCACAGGCGGTCACCAGCTCACAGGTGGCCACCAGGTCGAAGCTGTGCACTTTGTTTTTGACGCTCTTGGCGATTTTACAGTCTCCACAGCCGAAGTCTGCAACCACCAGAGAGGCCGGTCTGCAGGGGACAGGGAGCAAGAGGACCCTGGATTTAGTTCACATTTTATTCACATGGAAGACTGTGGTCTGAGAACGTAAAGGACGATATTTCAATGAACAAGTTTGATAGTGATGAATAGACTAGACTACAATAATCAGTTAAATCAACGGACTTTACCTACTAAATATTACGGTATATTACAACTACTGAAAAGAAAAATAATTTGAAGCTACCAGGAAAAAAAAAGAAAGAAAAATCATGAAAGCCATGTTAGCACCTTGCAAATACAAGCATGCAGGAAGAGAGTTTGAGAAATGTTCGCTGTGAGTTTGCCCATAATATATGGGTTTAAACCTGCACACAACACCTCTGGATTTTTACCTGTAATGTAATATCATGCATCCATTAAAGATACATGTAACTTTGTAATGGATTCATGCTTGTGATTTTACATTAATTGAAAAGAATGTACTGAAACAATTTATGTCTTTATCAGTGTTAATGTATTGTCTGGAAAAATTTGTGTTTTTATATTTAATCAATAAAAAAAAAAAAAAAAAACTTCCTGGAAGTCATCTTCATGATTCTTTGGAAACAGTATCCGACATACTGTGGGATACTGTAGCCAAAAAACCCTTCAGACCCCCAAAAAAACATTCAGACCAAGCAAGGTCAAGGAACTAAAAAGCAGAGATGGACTGATATATATATTTTTTTTAAGCCAATATCCAAAACACAAACACTAAAAAAGTCTATCTCTACTAAAAAGCTACATACTGTAGTTTTATTATTAAAAGTTTTTGTGATATGTCAATTTCAGCCATTCAAATTGTGTTTTTTTTTTGTATCCCTAATTCACGTCCTTTTGCTTGCTCTTACTTTTGCTTGATGAACTGGATTATCTGATCCACGGGGTTCTGGGGCCACCTGTTCACCTGGGCGCTGTATCCTCGGTGGTACACCCAGAAGGCCTCCTGGTCCTGGGTGAACATGCGGCGTGCCTCCTTGCTGCTGGAGCTGTACAACACCTCGTTTATGTAGCGGAACCGTGCCGCCTCCAGACGCTGCTCCATCCGAGATCGCAGAGAGGCCGAGGGGTCCAGGGGCTCCGCTGTAGGCCCCTCTGTCTCCGGTTCTACCTCCTCCACACAAGCCTGTCACCACAGACCAGTTTGACAACACACTTTTTATGTAGAATAAAACAAGATAGTTTGTTGTTTGTGGAGGAAATTATGATGATTATGATCTCAAAAAAACAACAACACAGCCTTTACAATTGGGCTTCTTTGGGGTATTAACTGCTAAGACATATTTAGGTCACCATGTTACCTTTTATTGTTTTGAAAATGCTATGAAACTATTTCTGGGGATCTATATTAGGTTAAAGTTTTGTTATTGACATCTCATTAAGTCTCTCCTCCCTTTGCTCCTCGTGCCAAGTCACCCCCCGTTACTGTGCACCCCCCTAATAACACTACTCAGGTCTGTTAATTTGAAAATTGCTGTGCAGGCTGATGGGTGACATAGGCTTGCGGGCAGAGCCTTGTACAGGCTCATACTGCGTAAGAAAAGTTCAAATAGGGCCTGGGAGAGATCACTAGATTACCCAAACATGTATTGATGACATCGTTAACCTTTTCAGACATGTTTTTGATGAAGGAAAATGTTATAACATGATAGAAAGCTCCAAAGTTTTTATTTGTTCTTCTGATGTTCATTTTATGATTATTTGTTTTGATTTGTGTGTATTGTGATTTTAACGTCTTTCTTGCTATAAATGTGCTTTTGCATGTCTTTAAAGTGATTTAGAAATAAAGCTGAGTTGAGAGTTTTGCATAATGTCTAAAATATTGACCTAGTAACTAGAATATATTAGAATAATTATAACAACACTGATTTTACTGTAGATATATTGTGTAGATATATTGTTTTGTGTTTGACTAATGACATTTTATGATGCATTTGGAAATCTTTGTATTTTATGAGGTAATAGTTTTCATTCATTCTGACAATTTTAATATAAATTACGTATTAGTTTCAGCACCCAAAGCTCTGTATGCATTATTCTTTCACTCCACACTCAGTGGTGGTGAGATCCTATTGTAGCCACAGCCGCCCTGGGGCAGACTGACAGCGCCATCAGCCCCGTTGACCACCAGCAACAACACTCACGCCAATACCACATTCATACTAAGCAATGTAGTTGAAGTGCCTTGCCCAAAAACACAACAACCTGATATTCCCTGCAGTCTCCCATCTAAGTACTAACCAGGCCTGGTCCTGTTTCCCTTCTGAGATCTGATAAGATCAGGCTTTGGTCAGGCTGTGGCTACATTTTCACTTCATAGTGATGAACTGCATATTTGTCATTTTTAGAAGGTATCACTATTGATGAAATTTTGATTGACACAGTGTATTTAAGTGGTTCCTGAATGTGAATAGGTGGTTTGATGTCCTCTGACAAAACCTGTTTTAAATAAATAATGGTGACAGGCCTACCTCCACGGGGTGAGCCTCCTCCACCTTGGTCTCCTGGTTCTGGAGCAATCTGCGCAGCTTCGCCTTCTTCATTTCCGCTTTTTTGTTCTGGTCAATATTTGCTGGTTTTAGAACTTCATTGTTCGTGTCATTCATCTTTTTCTTTTTAATCTCCTCCTTTCCACTCGGCGGACATGTTTCTGATGATCCTTCGTTCATTTTGCCTTTTTGTTTTTTACTCTTTTTCTTGACTTGCACAGGCTGATTGTCCGTGTTTGTGGTAATATTGCCGTTAGAATCCATCTCTTTCCTCTCCCCCTCTTCTGAAGCTCCTTGAGGTTTAAACTTATTTTTGCTCTTTCGTTTGTTTTTCATTCGGTTCTTCCACTGTTTTCGGCTCAGCTTTGTGTCTGAACTGTCAGTAGGTTTAGATGTGTCTTGGTCCTTTTCTGTGGTTGTAGAGATCACTTTTTTTCCTTAAAAGGAAAAATGTTTTGAAATGTTAAATGGACAGATAAAAAATCTGTATTATTTATTTCCAGGAAATCAATACTAAAATTAATTTTTGTTTTGTTTTTTGAAAAGACTTAGATAAAATCAGATTAAGAATAGAGATAAACAAATCGTGATACTTAATTAACAAGTACCATTTAATGTTGAAAATCACATTTTATTGTCCAAAGCAAGTCTTTTTCTGTATCATTGTGGTGTCACAGTCAGTATCGAGTGTCAACAAGTACAACAAGTACAACACTACCTCTAACTGAGATAAACTACTATTCGGCAACAGCAGCTTTTTCACTTACGATGTGCATACAAATTTAAAGTTATGGTTGTTAAAAGGTAATAATGGAAGCACTTCAGCAGTTTGTTGTGTCAAATATTGACTGTGTGTTTTGTACATTTTATAATGTAGTTTCTTGGTAAAAGTCAATTCTAATTTCCTATAAGCAATGTTTCTTTTACCATAAGTTAGAACAGCTTGTATCAAAAGCCCTCTGACTCACCCGTTGTGTCCTTCTTCTTCTTCTTGACGGGGGTGTCCTGGCTGAGCTCCAGGCCCCCCTCCTCCTCCTGCTCCTCCTCCTCCCCTGTGTCTCCATGCTTCCTCTTCTTCCTCCTCTTCTTCCTTCTTTTCTTAGCGTGTTCTGTTGGTGGAGCTTCATCCTCACTGTCGCTGGCTCTCTGTGGGTCCTGGCTCTTCCACTGTGGCACAGAGCCCAGCGTCTGCAGAGTGCGCAGCAGGCTCTTCTTTCCCACTGCCTTAGTCTGGATTATAGAAGAGGTCAAAGCAAACTGTTCACATTACACTTAACTGTAAGGTACATTTCACTGTATCATGGAAGACTTACATTAGAAATTCAATAAATACAACCCAACGGTGTCCCCAGACATGAGGTTCAAATCAAATACAGCCTTTACTGGTAACAATTGTGATTCTTCACAAAAGCACTGGGCATGATGTCCAAGATGTTTATATAATTTGGTGTTTTGGTCTCTCGTTTGGGTTATTTAAACCTGGTTTAAACCCAAAATGCTTCTCTCTGATATGATGGTCTCTCCCTAAACCCCAGCACCTGCACCAGTTATGAGTCAGTGCTAGTTTAGCATGTGCAGCTCAGGGAGGGAATTCTGGAGGTTCTGAGCTTCACATGAGGCCTGGTCTGTCCATAAACTGAGAATGAGACAAGTGTTTATGTAGTGCTGTAGACCTGTAGTGGTCAGTGGTGTCTTAAGTCAAGATTTGTATTAGTCGACTGATAATTTTATTTACTTAACATTAGAAGAGAAATGAGAGAGTGAATTAGCTGAAGATTTGGTATTTTTGGTATTTGTATGTAAAACACAAACTAAACTCATGATTCTCAAGCTGAATCTGTCTTTATATTAATACAATGTTTCCTAGTCCTTTCCTCTGCATAAATAATAGTTAGAATTAATATTTATAATGCATCCCCCTGCAGGTGTAGTTTTATGAGTGCAGTTTGGCTCAAATACATACAGATATGTTACAGTTTCGAAAGCTTTGACCACCCCCTTTTTAGACAATTAATTTATTCACAAAACGTACAAGTAGGGCTGTAGTCAACTAAAGAAATTCTTAGTGGTATACAGCCCTACTTGCATGTGTCCACTATCTGCAGGTTAAAGCAGTGGCAGTCAAGGTTCTGCTGAGGCTGTAATGTTTAAGCAAAAGCCCTGTTCTGGAGTATAAAACGCTGCAATAAAGAGTATTCTGATTCTGAAATGTACAAAAGGTTCTATAACATGAAGATGACAAACAAGAAATAAAAAGCACAAGTTCATTAAAACTGGCTATAATACATTCTGGACAAAAAAAAAACAAAACAACAAAACAAAACAAAACAAAAAACATGTACTTATAATAAAATCTACTCTACAGCCCTTGGTCAGAAAAACATTACCTTTACATTGGGGCTGCTTGGTTCGTTTGCTTTGGGGACAGCTAGACACAGGACGTCTGCTTTGTCATCATTCCAGTCTTCATCTTCAAGAAACATCTCTGCAGAATCTTATCATTATAATCTATATTTAAAGATATTGTACAAAGCTGTGAAAATCTAGCGTTATTAGACTTGAGTTGAATGTCTTACCCGTGTGCAGGCTACACAAATGCGTCAGCACAGGCTCTGACCGCAGATCGAATCTTTCTAACCAACGAACCAAATTCTGTTTTTACTGTTTACAAATATGAAACTGATTTTTAAATGTTACGATTTTTGTTGGAGCCACGTTGGGAACTCATATGCGCCGCGGAGGAAGCAAAACAACTACAGTCGCTTGTTGATGACGTCACTGCACGGAAGAAAAGTTTATTTATTTAATTTTATTTATTTAATTATTATAATTTTTTTTAACTGTTTGCAGATTTTCAGACACAAACACAAAAGGCACCTTACAAACGTACTCAGTTCACATGAAAACAAAATAAATACATAGAAAACACAACAGTGAATAAAAATATTATACATATAAAAACACATAAAAAGGGCCAATTTCAAAGCTCTAATTAATTTAAAGGAAAAAATTAAAATATTTTTAAAAAGACATCAGAAAGCCAGCCTCTTTTCTCTTAATTAGGACCAATAAGCAAACTAAAAGTTTCAGCACACTCCACTCACACTGACACAACACACACTCCACTCACACTGACACAGCACACACTCCACTCACACTGACACAGCACACACTCCACACACATCCACAGCACACACTCCATATACACTGACACAGCACAGAGTGCACACACACTGACACAACACACACTCCACACACTCCACTCACACTGACACAACACACACTCCACTCACACTGACACAGCACACACTCCACTCACACTGACACAGCACACACACACACACACACACATATATATATATATATATATATATATATATATATATATATATATATATATATATATATATATATATATATATATATAGTAGTAGTAGTAGTAGTAGTAGTAAGTTAAAGAAACAGTCTGCAGTAATATAAAAAAAAGGTTTGATTTGCAGGTGTAGGTGCAGTAGCGCTTTATCACCGCTGAGAGGCAGCAATGCGCCGGAAATACACAACAACAATAAAATGCTAAGGATGCTAATGCTGGTAATATTGCAGCCAGGATTGATTATTGTTGTTGTTTGTGACCACTGAAAACCTGTCAGGGGTAAACTGAGACGGGCCTTGAGCACAGAGCGTCCCCGGGCTGCTTTAGTGTATGGAATGAGCAGAGAGTGTATATTGTTCCAGTGAACAGAGTGCAGAGTAAAGACACAGTTGTAGACCCTGCACACACTGATGTCCGGCTTTTAGAGAACAACAGTGGAGAAGACGTGAGCAGGACTATTAAACCACGCGGGAATGAAACAGACTGCAGGTATGTTTTGATGAGGACTGTCAGGCCTGCACGAGCGAACTGCTGCTATGTCGAGAAAACGACCACCATTGAGTCTATTCGTCTGATAAATCGTTTGATTAATTGGATTTTCACGAGTCATGAGTGTAGTACGTGTATGTGATCACCTGGGGGCGCTCGATAAAGACTTTATGGAACTGTATGTATCCTGTGGTCGTACAGTTTTAAAAGTACTACAATCAGAAGTGAACCTGTGACTCTAGAGTCTTCACCTGCAGATAGAGACACATCCAAGTGTCTCATTCTCAGTTTATGGACAGACCAGGTCTCATGTGAAGCTCAGAACCTCCAGAATTCCCTCCCTGAGCTGCAGAGGCTGCACTAGCACTGACTCATGACTGGTGCAGGTGCTGGGGTTTATGTAGAGACCGTTCAGATCAGAGAGAAACATTTTAGGTTTAAACACACTGGATTTCAGCTTTGAAACTGACAACCCAATTGAGACTCATGTGAGGCTCATTCTGCTTTCTGACTAGATAATCGTCTTAAACTAAAACACCAAATTATAACAAACATACATGTTTTTGTAATAGAGAATACATGGGCATTAGGATTGTTTGCTGTAAAAGTTATGTTTGATGTGAACATGTTTACCTCATATCTGGAGACACAGAGAAGTCATGTTTATGAAATGTAAAGTCAAAATCTTGCATACCTTCAGCTTTAATGTAAACTACAGACACAACCACAGTGTTCTTTAGGAAGAAGTTATGTGTTTATGGGGCTTTTTGTTTTGTTTCTATGTTATAATGTTTTTTCCTCATCAGAAACTTACCTTTATTCTAGAGCAGGCATGTCCAAAGTACGGCCCGTGGGCCAAATGCGGCCCTCAGACAAATTTTTCTTGGCCCTAAGGCTTGCAAATGACTTGATCCAAATTACTTTACATCAATTAAAAATCTAATCATAATCTAGTAATAATAATAATAATAATGCATTGCTCTGCATTTCCCCTTTGTCTCCTGCAGGTGTCCAGATGCCCTCCCTGAGTCCTGGTCCTGGTCTGAAACAGGACATTAAAGAGGAGCCAGAAGAACGGAGCATCAAACAGGAGGAAGAACAGCCAGGTAGCACTGGTAAAGTAATGTACTGCAGATATTTGACCTGCTTTTGGGGTTAATATCTCTGTATTTCTATCCACTTGAAAGTACAAGAAGCAAATTCAACAAATAAACCAAGGTGATATAGTGACATTTTCACCACACTGGCCCCGCTCACACCACACTGGCCCCGCTCACACCACACTGGCCCCGCTCACACCACACTGGCCCCGCTCACACCACACTGGCCCCGCTCACTCCACACTGGTCCATATGCTGAGACAAACATGTATGTCCTCTATCTTCAGGTTCAGACTCTCGTAACCCAGGATCATTTATATTTGTTGTACCTTTTAAAACCAAAACAGTGCAGGTTACTTATCCTATCTCTAAGCACTGCACTGTATGTAAAAGAGTTATTTGGGTCCTGCAGGTGTCCTTGTTTCCTCCCTGAGTCCTGGTCCTGGTTCGAAACACAACTTCCCAGAGACGCCACAGATTAAAGAGGAGCCAGAAGAACAGAGCATCAAACAGGAGGAAGAGCAGCTGCGAATGTGAGGCCTGATCACTTTTTATTTCCTGTGGATATTTTAAATTTATGATTTTCTTATTGTGACAGTCATGTTTTTACATAACACTTAAATAGCGCTTTTCAAGATACTCAAAGATGCTTTACATGAGAAGACAAACAATGACAAACTTTTTTTTTTTTTTTTTTAAGTAAGAGATGGGTTTTCAGGGCTTTTTCAAACATAGGGAGTGTGGATGAGTCTCTGATGTGTTTGGGCAGGGAGTTCCAGAGGGTGGGGGCAGCAGTGGAGAAGGCCCGGTCCCCCCAGGTCTTATGTTTGGTCCTGGTGGGGGGAGACAGGAGGTTGGGCACAGGTGGGCACAGTGAGGTGGTGGATTTGTCATGTTGTGTCTTTGATTTGTTTTCAGATGTGTCCCAGAGTCCAGTGCTGTGTGTGTGAAGACTGAAGAGCCCTTACTGCTTCAACAAACTGAGCCTAAAGAGGAGAAAGAAAGAGAGGACATCAGGGAAGAGACACATGTCCACAGACAGGACACACAGGGAGAGGACATCAGGGAAGAGACAGAGACTGAGGAAGACACAGAGCACTCTTCTGATACTGACAGTGATGAAGACTGGAGAGCTCCATTCAGCACCACTGTGCCAAAACACCAGGCTGAAAGAAAGAAACACCAATGTTCAGTGTGTAAAAAGAGGTTTGGAACTGTAAAGGAACTACAAAGACACACTAGAGTCCATACAGGAGAGAAACCATTCAGCTGTTCAGTGTGTAACAAAGCCTTTGCCGTAAAGGTTAATCTTACAGCACACATGAGAACACACACAGGTGAAAAACCTTTCAGCTGTCCAGTCTGTAAGAAAGCATTTACCCAGAAGAGTCAGCTTGTAGTCCATACGAGGACACACTCAGGAGACAAACCTTACAGCTGTTCATTCTGTATGAAATCATTTGCCCGGAAAAGTAATCTTACAGTGCACATGAGAATACACACAGGAGAGAAACCATTCAGCTGTTCAGTCTGTGAGAAAAGTTTTACTTATTCCTCGAACCTCAAATATCATGAAGCTGAGCACCGAGGGGAAACACGGAAAACAGGAACAGCTGAAAGGAAGGAGCACCAGTGCACTGTATGTAATAAGAGATATCGTTCTAGATTTGATTTAGAAAGGCACATTAGAGCTCACTCTGGAGAAAAACCATTCAGCTGTTCAGTCTGTAATAAAACATTTACCCAAAAGAGCAGTCTTTCAGTGCACATGAGAAATCACACAGGAGTCAAGCCTTACAGCTGTTTAATCTGTAAAAAAACATTTACCCAAAAGAGTAATCTTACAACACACATGACAACACACACAGGAGACAAGCCTTACACCTGTCCAGTGTGTAAGAAGGCCTTCTCTATTAAACATTGTCTTTTAACACATGTGAGAATACACACAGGTGAGAAACCTTTCAGCTGTTCAGTATGTAAGAAAGCATTTGCCCAAAAGAGTAATCTTGTAGCGCACACAAGGACACACACAGGAGAGAAATCTTTCAGGTGTTCAGTTTGTAAAAAAATATTTGCCTTAAAGGGCAGTCTTGCTGTACACATGAGGAGACACACAGGTGAAAAACCTTTCAGGTGTTCAATCTGTAAGAGAACATTTGCCCAAAAGGCACAACTGATTGCACACACAAGAACACACACAGGAGAAAAACCCTTCAGCTGTTCAATCTGTGAGAAAACATTTGCTCGAAAGCATCAACTCACCGTCCACATGAGAACGCACACAGGTGAAAAACCTTACAGCTGTTCTATCTGTGGGAAACGTTTTGCTACAAGCTCCAATGTGAAAAGTCATGAGTTTTGTCATAAAATACGGAAGAGCAGACTGTGAGCGGGCCTTTCACCATCACCACTACACTGCAGAACACTGTATCATAGTTTTTCAGGGCTCAAAAATCAAAATGAGAAATTGATTTAAAGTGTAAAAACTGATGAAACAAATGATCCTCGTTTTGTGTTTAATGTGGTGTTACAACTGCTCTAAAGAGCCTGGAATTCTGTGGTCAAATGAACTGTCGCCAGTAAAAGGTTTTATGGCAAATATGTCTGGGATTACTGAGTCTGTCCATTGAAGCTAAGGTCAACTGACACAAGCTTCTGTTAGGCCTACATTAGTGTGATGAACATGTGTGTATATTAGGCCTACATTAGTGTGATAAGCACATTGTTATATTAGGTCAACATTGGTGTGAGTTGTGGGATAATGTGGTTGTGTAGTTCACTGACATATTGTGTTCTCTTGGATTTAAGCAGTAAATAAACACACAGATCATTACTTGTCCATTATAAACCACAATACCTGATCTCAAACGGCTTATTCGTATAAATGGCTCCACTTTAAAAGTGCAGAGCTGACAGGCCTCTCCTCTTCACTGAGGCTCTCACTGTAACAAACAGCAAGCGTGTGTGGATTTTTGTAATGACTGAACATGTGTGTGTGACATTTTGAACTCCACATGTGGCAGATGGAGTGATGCAGATGATCACATGTTTAGTATGAATGACACTAGTGCAGCAGCAGCAGCTGAAGCCCAGCACAGGTCTGTCACACCGAGGATGAGCACACAGGTGACAGATGTAGGTAGACCTAGATTCATCTAGTTAACTTTGAGATGTTTATTTTTGTTTTCTTTTATGTTCATGTGAATATATAATCTTGTATTTGAATGTTGTTTCTATTTGAACCAATTGGCTTTTCCATGAAACAGAAGCACAATCCAAAAGAAATCCAGTCATATAATTCAATGTTAAAGCCACAGTATGTGTTGAAACCTCCTTGTCAGAGCAGGGCCGGGTCTGTTTGTACTTGGATGGGAGACTGCTGGGAAAATCAGGTGCCACAGGGGGGCGCCAGTCACAAAAACTTAACCAAGACACATCACCTACATTGCCTAGTGTGAAAGTGGTGAAAGCGTGACTGATGGTGGTGGTCTGAGGGGCCGATGGCGCAGATTGGGAGCCTCACTTCTTTCAGTTTGCCCCAGGGCAGCTGCGGCTACAATAGTAGTTTACACCACCAAGTGTGGAGTGAATGATTAATACTCCGTAAAGTGTCTTTGAGTGTCCAGAAAAGTGGTATAAAACTGATACATTATAATTACAACTTAAACATGTCACTCTGGTCTGGAGGGAGGAGACAGGGAGTCTGGAGCTGTGACCTGAGCTGTCACAGCTCAGCTCCTTTACCGACAGGACAATGTGGTTTTATAGTTTGGCTCTGGCACCACCTGCTGATTGCTGAATCAAACTCTACTCTGACACACGTTTTTAACCACTGTACTGTACTAACTGTACTTACTTGAGTGACAGTAAGTAAATACAGAGCTGTGGGCGGAGATAGGTGGTAGGTGAAAACCTAGCGGTGAATGCAGGACAA